TTTTGATTGGACGAGAACACGTTTTAGAAAAAGTTTAAACATCGATGAATTTTTCGATCAGAACTACTTTCTTGACGAAGCTTCTGGGCTATCGTATAAACAATGAAAGCAGTTATTTCTGGTCTTTTTAGCTAAATATTGAATACAAGAAACTTCAAATTTAATTAAATAAAATAAAACTGGCGACAAACAGGACTGAGAGACGGGAATGTTATGTTTATGTCACTGTCGGATCACGAGTGTGAATTTTAAAAAATCGCTGATCATGCTGTCATTTTCTCGACGTTCCATATAGGGAAAAGAAACGTACCTCAGACTCTTGCCTTATCAGCATCAATTCATATATTCCCCTACATCCTACAGATCCCATATTCTCCATAAATCTTTGAACGAACCAGAGCAAATCGAGGACGTCGTCAGTCTGCTACTTTCACTATGAGCGTTGTCGTTAGTCAACATGGCCATGGTCAAGTACGAATTATTCTGCAGAATACGCGTATTTACGATATTTGTTGACTTAAACAACATTCAATGAGTTTTTATAAGTTTATTTATTGATTGTTTTCACAATTTAAGTTGGACTTTATCGATATTTTACCGATATTCATCTTGTATTCGTTTCTTTGCGGCACTTCTATTCAGTTTGTGAGTAAAATGGCAGAGTTTACACATCGATAAATTCTGAAAAAAGAACGTTTAATCCTATATATTTACATTTCCAATAAATTTCCCTTATGATTCTTTACAAAATAAAATACAGTATATTTTCTCATGAACTACATTAGGTATGAATCACGAATAAGCATGAATATCTCATTGTTACGTCATAATACCGCTCTTAACGTCAAAAATATAGTACACACTGTTTTGTTTTAAAAATGACAGTTGAACGGCGTAAATTAATGGCAATTCATCAGAAAAATAATGTAAATATAAGAAATGAATTTAATTTTTTGAAGATTCATGAGGGATATGAACTACAACGCTTCACGCCGGCATATTTATCATGCAGCGCTAACGCGCTTCATGAAATATGCCGGCGTGAAGCGTCGTAGTTCATAACCTCATGAATCCTCAAAAATTAAATTCATTTCTTAAATTAAAATAAAAAATTCTTGTGTAATTTTATTCTAAATTCTAAAATTGATTTTCAAACATTTAATTTTAGAAATTATTAGTAATAAAGTTTTTAAAGATCTTGCCATCATTCAGATATTGTGAAGTTGCCCAATTCACACATTTGTTTCTCTTTACCCTGCAGTCTCACGTTAGTGACGTCATAGACGTAGTGTTTGAATTCTCAGTGCAGCGAGATCAAGTACACACACCCGTCATGATCAATTTTATTTCATAATAAACAGGTCTTAGTCAATGTATCATGATAAATTTCTGAAGCAGATTTTTTAAATTAATATTTTTTCGTGTTTACTAGCAGAGCTTCCCTCTATTTAGATAATTTTGAATGTTTATGTTTTCGTGTGACGTCACAATTGATTTCCCGCACTCGGAAAATACAAACGTGTACTGTAAAAGTTAACACGCAAAAAAAACCACGCACGGTGTTGATGACGCTTTCTATTGATTTTCCTTCTATAGAGAATATTGCCATGCATTACTCTATAATAGTGTAAATAAATAGTATCTATTTGGTATTCTGCTTCAAAATAAATTAGAAAATCTTTAAAACTCGGAAATATGTCATTATTTTTTATTTTATTTACATTAAGATATCAAAACCTTTGACATTTATACATAAATACCCATGTAGACTGGTAACATTTGAGGCATACCCCAAAAATCTATATACATATATGAGCGATTTATAAAATTGTAATATTGATAGTTTTTACATCAGTCGGCGGGAAAACGCATCGTCTTTATGACATCATAGTTAATTTGACGTAAAATTCGTTAGATTTGAGATAATTTGCCCGTAAACGCAAGAAGATACATGGCAGACTGCGGAAAAAACAGGTGATAAATTCAAAGCCGATTCAGGTAAGGGCGTTTATGGAGATGTGTTATATATTTTTAAAATATTGGAAATTTGATTTACACAAATATATACTCGATTCCCATTATATCGCGGGTTTCATTGTATCGCGGTATATCGCAAAAATGTGGATACATAGCCTATATTCTTTTTGTTGATAGACAATATGAATGTTGTCTGAATGTTTAATTTTTTGATGATTAAGAAGTACGGAACATCCGTTTGAAAAAAAAATAAAACGAAATTTTCAGATTTCCAGTCCGGTTTTAATTATATTTAGACCATTAGAATTAAAACCTCGTAAAATTTATAATAAAGTTCTTCTTTTTAAGTCTTTAGTTTATACAATTGTTCACTTTTTCATGTAGAATTACATCGTCAATTCAAAAATAAAAATTGAGGTCTGTGTCATTTACAAGTTTCCATGTATTCCCATACCGCGATACAATGAGACTCTTCAATTTAGGAGGTAAATAAAACTTCCTGTTTTAATAATAGACCGCAAATTAAACGATGCAAGCTTGGAAAATAATTGGACACTGAAAAGTTAGGCCAAAGTTAGAATTATAATTATCATTTGATGTAAGTTAAAATAAAAATTAGAAATGACACGTTTTATGCAAAAGAATTAAGTACCGCGATATAATGAGACACCTGTATATATCCAAAAAAGATGCTTACAAGAGTTCATGGAAATTTTTTTGTTGATTTTTAAATTCTATATAAACATTTTAGCATTTATTTGAAAATCATACCATATAAAGCCCTTATGTCACGCCATGTTTTTTTTTTTTTTTTTACATTTTGATTCCATATTACCCATATTGTTTGATTTTTTTAGTCCGTCGTTAACTTTTCTTTTAAAATATACAATTTAATTCTGAAAGGAGTGTATCAAGTATCTGTTAACACATTATTTTACGAATTTCAATGCATAAAAATAGCTAATGAGGATTTCTGCATTGTTTTACTTGTCCGTCACATGAAATATTTGACGGCATCATGGCGTCTGATAATATGAACAAGCCCTATTTAGTCAAAGTATACAAGACTTATTTATATTTGGATTCTTATTGTTGTACTTATGGTCTACAATCTCCTGCTCTGCATTTTGTTTATTGGTTCAAAACGTGTTTTGCCTCAAAATATGTTACGAAAATCCAACTGAATCTCTGTCTACTCAAATGTCCTCGACAGTGTTTTTAACGTTTTCTCTGCAATTTTATGGTATTGAACTCATACTCTTTGAGAGCAATTATCTCAAACACTTGAGAAGTTTTCAAAAAAATCTTTTTTGTCTGAGAAAATATAACTGTATTAGACTTTCCTGTTTCTTTGCTTTGCGATTACATTGATATTCAATGAATTAATGAAGAATTTTAATTGGTCTACTAATTTGTCTCATTTACGGGATTTTGACGTGATCTGCACTTATGACGTCTCGCTTCGAAAAAATGCAGATGTTATAACGGTTTGGATTCATCTTAATTAAGACACGTCAACATATTAATTGTTAAACCTAGAAATTTGTATTTAAAAATGGGGGGGGGGGGGTGCACGAGATAAAAGGAAGTAGAGGGAATTAATTCACATTCCGACTGCTTAGACAGTTTTTACAGTCCCCATTCCATTTACATTCCCCTTTCCTTTTTTTCTTTTTTGAGTTTGTAGACTTACTTTTTTATCAGCGCATACTCATTTTTATGAAAGTATATTTCTTCCTTTCTCAAGTGTAGAGTTTTTTTTTTTGGTTAAATATTGGTGGTGTTTTTTTCCAAGGGGGGGGGGGGTGTCAAGAGCACTTCCTCTGGATTCGTCCTTAGAATGACGCAAATGTTATAGCATAATGATAAACAGATAACGATATGGGACAAACCTGTAACATTTTAAAACTGAGAAAAATACATAGTTTGCATAATTTTTAGATTGCCAATTGCCGTCATATCGAATTCAACTACCGAAAATTAAATTTTTGCTATCTAAATAAAATACAATTTTGTACATATTAGATCAAAAGTGTATGTTTCTGCTGAATAATAGCAAATGAAAAGTGTCATTGTATAAAGTTGTCATAGACAATGTGAAGGGAGCGAATCAAAAATTTTCATGTATTGCATTCAAAAGAGGTAATCAATTCAAAAATTCAATATAGAACGCAGCCCAATTTTTCCTGTCGACAAAACTAAGGCCTATACTAATTCATCTTCATTGTTTTAAGAAAAAGAGGAAAGGGTCCTATCAATGTTGAATTGCTAGCCGCAATGCTTCCGTCCTGTTTAATTCACTACCATATATACAGAGATACACAATTGTTTTTTTAAAGTTTAGGGAGGAGGATAAAAAGCTGACAAGTCAAACAATATTAGGATAGAAAAATTCGGCGAGAACAAAAAATCTTGTCGAAGTAAAGTACATTATTATCACTCAAAAACACTAGTATAGGGAGGATAATCTATCTCTCTCTCTCTCTCTCTCTCTCTCTCTCTCTCTCTCTCTCTCTCTCTCTCTCTCTCTCTTATTGTCTTTTGCTTTAAAATATTTCTAAGTGAATTCTACTTAGACCCTCTTACAATCCACACCAGATGTGCCTATACGACTGTCTGGATTCGATAGGACGGATTATTATACATGTACATTGAAATTAAAAATGACACGCTTTCTTGATTTTTAAAGAATAAATAAATAGTAAAAATAAATTTGTAAATTGCATATTCCTGAACTGAAAGAGAAACCCTAGACAAAATTGATCGAAAAGTACCCCCCCCCCCCCCTCCTTTCAGGAGATAATCTTAAATGATTTTGTTTTACATGTACCTAGAAAGAGGACACCCCCACCCCACCCCGGGCATTATATTGTCTATGAAACATTCATTAATAAATTCAAACGTCATTCCTTATTAGATGGCATATGTATAAATATATTGTTTGATATCTATTTTTATCGTTCCTTATTATTTTTTTTTACCTATAAATGTAAAATTTCTATCAATTTGTAATTTTTACAGGTATGTCACATTTAACGATCAAAGAAAAGAGAGAAGAAATACGCAGAGAACAAAAGAGAAAATGGAAACAAAAACAAAAATTATTGAGACCAGCAAAAGAGTTGTCTCAATCTACAGCGGCTGTAAAGAAGAGGCAGCAAAGAAAGAGGCTTGCTCGGAAAAAAGAGGAAGAAAGTGAAAAAAGACAACAAGCTGCAGAGAGAAAGCAGAAAAGTAGGACAGCCCTTAAGAGTAAACAGATTCAAGAAAAATCAAAGAAGGAAGAAAGACGCAGGAAAAACACAGAGAAACAAAGACGATGGCGAGAAAAGAAAAAAAATACTCACACAACACAATCTCCCGCTCACACAAGAGGAACAACAAATATATCAAATAAAATGAGTAAATCCCGAGCAATAAGAAGGTTAAAGGAAGCACTTCCCAGGACACCTGTAAAACGAATTGCAACAGTAAAGGCGTACTTGTCCACAAAGAAATCACCCACAGTAAAGGAACTACAGCGTAGAAAGGTTGTACCATCACCGGAAGAACGCAAAGAATTGGAAATGAATGAATCTGTTATACAGGATGTGAAATCGTTCTTGAATTCGGTGAAATTTAAGCGGAGCGATAAGTCGCGGGAAGCCGTGGACATTTTAGCTGCATCTGTATCAGGACCATTAGTTAAAAGATCAAGGGCCAAAGTTGACCTTGCGAGAAACTCGGAATGCCTGTTAGAAGGATCTCAAAGGGTGTTCGAATCCGACAACGAGTTCTGCATTCTGAAGAATCATCCTTTGAGTTTACAAAAAGGAAAACAAGGTCAGATAAACTAACTGAAGAAGTACAAAAAACAGTGTATGATTTTTGGTGTCTACCCGAAAATTCGCGACACACTGGAAATAAAACTGATGTCAAGCGTGTCCGAATAGCTCCAAAAACTTACTGTGGCCATGCTATTCAAATTCTAGAAAAAAACACAAAGTGAACTGTTCATGTCCTTTAATCAACATTACCCTGAAATTAAAATTTCACAGAGAACATTTGAAAAATGTAAGCCATATTTTGTCCGATCTGCAAGGAAAAAGGATAGAACAACATGCTGCTGCAGGTATCATCTAGAGAGCAAGTTTTTGTTCAATGCTTTCAAAGCCCGTAGAATGAATTGGCAAACGATGGGTTGCTGGACGAAAACACATGTAAGGTTTACAGAACAATTTCAGAATTTTGTGAAGACACGATGTGTCATACGGAGGGTGAAGATTTACATTTGAAGGACTGTTTAGAAAGAAGCTGTGAAAAATGCGGTGTTCATTTGCTGAAATTTTGTGACGCTGAATTAGATATGTCTGACGACTCGCCAGATGTTAACTGGAAAAAATTTGAGTATATTGACATTAAACAAAAAATGGTACCAAGAAGAAATTGACATTGGTGGACAAAGTTACAAAGTCCGGTGAGATGATCAAGTATTTTAAGAAGGTTTTGGATTTTTTCCAGGTCATCATGTCAGGGCCAAATGGCAAACTGATCAACTGAAAAATCTTGCCGAAAACTTGCCGGAAAACGAATGTTTAACTGTTCATGATTTTTCGGAAAATTACAGATGTAATGAGAGGGTTGAAATACAGTCAAACTATTTTCAACGAACTGAGGTTTCCATTCACATTTCCCTGATTTATAGACATGCTATTTTAGAAGTTGACGGTGTATCAAGCACCCCGGATGACCCGTGCATTATTTGTGAACATTTTTTTCTTATTTCTCCTGACGAAAAGCACGACCATCATTTTGTAAAGTGTGCTCAAAGGTTCATATCTGAATATTTGCAGTCCATCAACTAACCTCTGTCTACAATGCACGAGTTCTGCGACGGGTGTCAAAGCCAATATAAAAGCAGGAACTGTTTGGGAAATCTCGTTCATTCCGTTGACGAGCTTGGATACCAGAAAATAATACAAAATTATTTTGAAAGTAGCCATGGTAAAGGACCACAGGATGCAGCTGGAGGTTTGCTTAAGAACAAAGCTGATATGGCCGTTATCCGCGGGAAAGCTCAGATAAGATCTGCGCTTGACCTATTTAATTTTGCAGAGGCTAATCTCAGGACACCTCGATCTCATGCTTGCAAAAGAAGAATATTTCGATATGTTGACGAAATCCAGAGGTTTGAAGAGAACTTTCAGCCAATTAAAGGAATTCGAGCCGTACATCGAGCAGAAACATCTAAAGATGGGAAAATCATATTGCGTAACATGTCATGTTACTGTGACAATTGTCTAAAAGGGAAGAAATGTAAAAATTTACCTCAAGTTGGACTTTCCAAAGAAATAAAAATGAAATTGAATAGCGGGTCCACAGATCAGGATTCTGACATTTCGGAGGAGGAATATCCCGAAGAAGAAGCACTCTCGGATCTTATGACTGAGGGAACAGTGTTTGCTGTACTGTGCACAGGGGATGATGACGACGACTTTTACCTTTTACAAGCCACATCAAAGAGTAAAAATCTACGGAAAGCCAAAACAGACAAGTGGGGTGGATCGTTTGTTGCTGGGTCAACAGTCATCAGCGGAAAATATTTTGCTAAAAAGGAAAACTCAATCTTGGACTATAAGCTGATAAATCGCCCGGTAGCCATGGTTCCAAGTGCATCTGTATTGTACATCTGCCAAAATGTATCTATACAAAGCGAAATTCTTCACCTAACGGAGGAGGAAAATAAAAATATCCTGGAATGCGTAAATTTAAGCGTGTTAAGAGCCATTCTCTGTAACGACTTGAAATTTTATATAGGAGCTGTGGCACGCATAGTCTCAGAATTTCTCCAAACTCTCTACGATAATAGTCATTGATACCCTAAACTGAAATCAGGCAAAAATTGGTTGCTATGTTTTATAGTTACCATGGCAACATGTCTTAAAGTTCGAAAAATGGCATTTTTTAACATGTTTAGAGCCCCATAGTAAACATTTGCGGCAAAGCAAACAATTGGCAATGACTGTTTCCAAAAGTTGAAGGTTAGATGTCTGAAATGCATGATAAACATGTTTGGTAAATCAACTATTACATACGTTACTATGGTCACAAAGTATTCAAAAGTAAAAAAAAATATTCATTGAATTTTATAAAGTCATACAGGTAAAAATAAAAAGCAATTATGGGATGAAATGTGACCTGATAATAGAAAAAAGTACCTTGAAACATATACCATTAACAAAATATGATATTTCATTTTGGTTGGCAATGGTTGCCAAGGTTTTTATACCACAGAGAGCCTTCAAAGTAACAATCTGTATGTTTAAATTTGATCCTATATTTTAAAAAAGCACATTTGCTCATAATTAATGATCAATTTTTAAAGATGTTGGTGTGCTCCTAGTTTTCCCATTTGAAAAAATTCAGATTACATTCTATAAATACAGCGTTGCTATGGAAATAAGCAGAAAATATATGCTTAAAAACCCGAAAAATATTTTCTTTCCTTGGATACGTACCTTTTAATGTAGATTCCCAAAACTTTTATGATTGATATTTATTAACAGCTAATCTGACTTTTAATTTTGACCATCGTCCAATCTCTAAGTGGATGCAAGAAGTTGGCACACAGGGTTTAATATTGATATAAAGTTCACAAAATCGAACATTTTCCCTTCTTGGTAACCATAGCAACAGTGTTGTTTTCTTCATCGAATTTTATCAATATATGATATTCAACTTCAATTCTAACAGATAAGTACTATTCAAGCTGAGTCCTTTAATTTGTTTCTTGATTAAATGGCAATTTAATTCTTAATGCAGCGAAAAATAATTCACTTTTAAGCACTGGTACTTTGTTTCCATGGTAACACTGCAATGTAGCAATTATACCCAATTTTTCTTATGGTTTTGGTGTTGCAAGGTCCTAATGATGCATACTTGCCAGTCTTGAATTTTCATGTTTTTCCTTAAGACAGTAGCATTAACCGAATCTTAGTTACTGGTTTTGCATGGTTACACTGTGTTACCATGGCAACCAGAAAAGTTATTTATAGAATAATATTGCTTATACTTATATACTTAAGGTAAAACATTTTCATTGTTTTTCTTAAGTCGTTGATTGAGTTTGAGCATGTAACACCTACCATTAGTAAATACGGAGTGTTTTTCAGCATATTTCAGCATTTTAAATGTATTCCAAATGTAACCTTGGTTACCACTTGCTTAGACATATATTCTAAACAGTTTCTTTACAGTAAAAATGACATCAAGGTGTCTTGTTTTTGTGAGAATGGTTTGTTTGCTTTTTTTAGTTTTTATTAAGCCACAGTCAAGATTTAAAGTGGCTGAAAATCTCGATTTTTCAAACTTTTCCGGCTGTTGCCATAGCAACCGAGACACATAGCAACGATATTTTGTTTGACATTTGTTTCTGGTGTCAAGTACTAAGCATGGGTGAAGTTTCATCAAAATCGGTGACCATGCGTGGCAACGAAGTTTAAGTGGTTACAGAGAATGGCTATTAACACACTAAACTGATATCCAAGCATAATATATGGATATCCCATGGCGTATAGATAGTTTTAGAATTGATTTTATACCTGCAATTTTAAAAACTTTAAAGAGAGTAAATTAATATGGTAAAGAATACGTTTTGTGTGTGCATGTATTTGACATAAACGTTTTTCATGCTACGTAATAAACATTTCTATACTCATTAAACTTCAAGTTTCTTTTCATTTTTGTAACCTTGAACAAAGAAATGAATATAATAAAAGAGCTCTAAACTGCAAAAATAAAATGGATTTTTACTGTTTGATTTTATATATAGACATGTTGATACTTCTTTTCCAACAAGAATTCATAGAGAAAGAAATAGTATTAAGATTTTCTAAGATGATGAAGTATTATGCCCTGTTCACACGGAGAGTTTAATTCGAATTAAACGTAAAGTTAATGCGAATTAGCTTCGCTTAGAGTTCACACGGAGAATTTAATGCGAATTAGTTTAATTCGACTTAGTTTATTGCGCAGTAAATTACTTCGCATTAGCTCCGTGTGAACGCTAAGCGAAGCTAATTCGAATTAAATTTTGAGGCATGTGTAATGGCAAAATTGGGTCAAATGCAGCATTTCCGTGGTCAAATTGAAGTATTTGTGCCATTTTTGAGTGAAAACTAAGGAAAATTGTGTTAATAACTAAAATGTTTGTACAGACACTGTAACTTTACGTCAAATGCATCTGCTCCTGCATAAGGTCACGTGATTTGCAAATGACGTCATAATAACCCTTACTGACGCCTGGCCGTTGAAGTAGAATTTTAATTCGCATTAGTTTACTTCGCATCAGCTGTCGTGTGAACGCAATTTAATTCGCATTATTTTGATTCGCATTAGTTTACTTCGCATTAATTTACAACGAATTAAACTCGTCGTGTGAACAGGGTATTAGAGAACAGTAATCTATGGAACGCCGGGACTGTCTTATATGAAGATTAAATATTATATGCTTAAATTTAGAGTCAGGAGTTTTATCTACAGAGACAGGATTTAGAGTCAGGAGTTTTATCTACAGAGACAGGATTTTATCTACAGAGACAGGATTTGGAGTCAGGAGTTTTATCTACAGAGACAGGATTTAGAGTCAGGAGTTTTATCTACAGAGACAGGATTTAGAGTCAGGAGTTTTATCTACAGAGACAGGATTTAGAGTCGGGAGTTTTATCTACAGAGACAAGATTTAGAGTCAGGAATTTTATCTACAGAGACAGGATTTAGAGTCAGGAGTTTTATCTACAGAGACAGGTTTTTTCTACAGAGACAGGATTTAGAGTCAGGAGTTTTATCTACAGAGACA